ACCAGAACAGACCCCCTTCCCCATCAGCCACTTCTTCCCCACCACACACATCGTCAATCAGAACTTCCCTTCCTCTCCTTTCACCTCACCCAGTCACTCTCTCCAATGGAAGCTGCTGTCCTTCATTCTCTTAAAATGAGCAGTACTGTGACATTAAGCCTAGACAATCCACATTCAACCAAAAATTTCTCAACCCTGCTATACATGCATTGACCTATTCATTTTCCTCCTTCCCATCCCTTAAAGCTACCAAAGTTTGCTAGAGAAAGTAATATAAATATGTCAGTTTGCTCTAGGTCAATTCATGTCATAGATCTTTAGTTAGTCTTCAGTGTTGCCAAGAAACACTATGATGTTTTTCACAGTAGCTGCTGTAAAACTTTTCCATTTTCTTCAAGATTTATCCTTAAATATTCCAGAAGAAGAAACCATGATAAATCTAGGAGAAAGTGACCTTGATATCTCCATGTGCATGACATCCTGGAAGAGAAGGATGGGACTGTAAACTCTATACTTTAGGATAGCAGATTTCACAAAGGTCTGAGAAAGTATAAGCATGAATTCCACTGCAAGAGTTTCTAAAGGGAAGGATGATTTAAGAGAGTTGAGAAGCTCTTAAAACTGTAAGTCTGATTATATAATTACAAATCATTTCAGCAAGGAAGCCAATGCGGCTTTTTAAGTATCTTGGACAAGAATCTAGTACCAAATGTAAAAAATACTAAATATGTTGTGATGCATAACAAAAAGCAGCGACCCCGAAAAGCCAGTCAGGGTTCACTAAGGACAGATTACCTTTAGAGTTTTGATAGCATTACAGGACTAAGGTTCATCAAAGCGTGGCATGTAATGTATAGAGGTGAATAAGGTTCAACTGAAATCTCTCATGGCAATTCCAAGAACAAGAAAAAAACTAACTTGTAACAACTAGAGGTCTCTAGTACTGTAATTCTCTTTGGGCTTCCCTTAACTGGAGGCACCAAAGTGCCACTGGAGTGCCAGAGAAGCAATGCTTACACTGAAGGGGGCACCAAGACTGATGGCCTCCTGAAGGCCCCTTCCAAAGCTACTGAAATTATACATTCTATTAATGTGCACATGCTACTTAACGTTTTTGTTAAAGATTCTAAATGTGGGGTTCTCCACCCGCAGTTATATACTGACTGTATATTGTTATCAAGTGTTGATTTTGAAACCATAGAACCTGGTTCTCATCACTTTCTGTTCTAAGCCACTCCTGTGTTTTCTAGCTTGATTTATGGTACAACATCTTCCTAGTCAACATGGCTGAAGACCCTGGGGTCATCAAATCATTCTCATCTACCCATCTGACCGGGCAGCAAACATTCACTGAGTATCCTTGTCCTAAAGAAGTTCATGGCCAAGTAAATAACTTACATAAGCAATTACAATACAAACAGATGAGAGCTTTAAGAGTGGTATTATTAGAAACTATGGGAGCACCCAATGACGGAGGACTCAGTCAGGGAACATTTTCCGAGTAGACGACTGAGTTAAGTTTAAAAGTTGAGTATTTCACTAAATAAACACTGGGGAGAGGAGAAAGCCGCTGCTGGGAAAGGAAGTGTAGTGTGCAAAAGTCTGGAGCTAGGAACACAGTTAGCAATGAAATGGCAAGTAATGAGGCATAAGTGAAGGGAACAGTAGGAGATGAAGTTGTCCTTGATGAATCGTGATTAAATGCCATCACCTAACCAATCACGCAAGTCAGAGGCCTGAGAGTTCATTCAAGGTTCTGTCTTTCTCTTTCATGCCCCTCTTCCCATTGGTTACCATGTCTGAGAAAATTTACCTTCTTCGTCTCCCCTGACTCTTTTCATTCCTTTTGCTTCCCTCACTGCAGCTCCTTTACTTCAGGTTCTCCCATCTCATCTTAGTGCGACAGCCTACTGCTTGCTTTCAGTCATGGCCCTTCCCACCCACTCTGGACTCTGAATCAGAGTGATCTTTTAGCAAACAGGCTTCCACTCTCCCAGAAACAACCCTGGATTTCCCCCTTCATCCACCTCCTCTAAGCTTCCAGAAAATTATTTTATTCCTATGGAAGAGCTTACAACACTCTGCTTTGTACCACAGCTAGAGCTCAGAGAGACAGGCCATTCAGTCCATCTGCTTTACCCACACTCTTTGCCAGAGAGTTGAGCCCCCCAGTCCCTGATAACGGGGCAGTGGATCCCAGGACCTCGGACCCTTACCTCTGTTTAAAACTATTAGGCAAATAACTGTCTCAATAGACCAATAAAGATCTTCTACCCTAGGAATTCTGTATTGTGCTCTAGACTACAGTGTGTGACCTGCAGAGGACTGGCAGTACCATATGGGGGCCATGTATGCTATCAAGCAGGTAAATGGCTCCTGTGTAGAAAAAAGCAGACTAATACAACTCATGTGCAGAAAGGGGGAGAGAAAAGATACCATGTGGTGGCTGGACCGGTCAGGGTGGTTGAGAAAGAAGCTGTGACTCCTTTGCCACCGTGTTAGTTCTGAGCTCCTCATGAGACCTGCCTACGCTTACTGGCCTGGGTTTTAGGTGAACCACCAATGTCTTATATTAATCACCACTTTTATTTAAATTAGATCAAGTAGGATTCCATTTCTTAGAATCAAATTAATCCTGTGACATTTATGTAAACTCCTTCTGCATTAGGTTATCATTTCTTTACATAAAGAAACCACAGCTTGTTTACCTTTGTATTTCTCACATAATACAGCAGTAACTTACACATATGATTAACACCTGTCTTTGTGAACTGAATTTAACTACAGAAGTAAGTGACTTTGGACTTGAATAATCAGTAGCAATTATATAGGCAGAAGTTCAATAATTTTTAAGGGCAGAGTGTTGGGGCAGGGAAGAAATTCAAAAGAAAGCCGCTTCGGTTAAACCTGGTTTTTAGGCATGGTTTCTATGCTTTCACATTCATACCCAGAGCAAGTACTACCTTCACGCTCCGGGTCAGAACCTGGCAAAGATGAGAGAGGAAACCCAAGTGGTCACAGCACGGCATGTTCTGACTGGGAAACGGTGACCTCAGCTCCTAAAGATCAGTAACAGATAGCCAGAACAAAAGAGCCAGGCGACCCCCCAACAGGCAACAGCTGCAGTGCGCACCCCCCACGAGACAGATGTCAGCTGAGAACTTCACCATGAAGGCCCGCCACATTTTATTTCTTGAGATAAATTTTCTCTTTTCCACAAGGATTTTAAAAGGCTTATTTCCATAAAAGACAATTTTTAATGTCTTTATAGTAAAAAGGTCAAGAAAAAGCACAGCTTTCCATCTAAGTATGAGAATCTTCAAACTTTTGCATTTTGAAAAATAGATGATTAATATATGGTTATTATTTTAAAATATTCTTTCTTTAGATTCAGAGAATGTCCTTGCTGCTTCAAAGGCCTGACTCCTTTTTTGATTACTGTTGTACTTTACCCGCAAGAAAAGAGTTCTTGATGAAGTAAGGGAGCATCTGTAAAAAAAAAAAAACCATAAAAAGCACCTGAAGGGCCATCTGAGTAATAAGAGAAACTCATTCTGTGAAGATTTCCTGACTACACCCTTACAGCTCAAAAACTAAGGAAACAGCCCAATCAAGTATACACAATGGGATATGACAGAAAGGCAGATAAAAGACAAGGCTGGATTTCCTGCCTTGATGTGAAAGTGTTCCCTTTTCACTGCCAAGCACAGTGTGGTGGGCACAATCACCAGGGGCCAGGTGGCACAGCCATTATCAAGCCTTTTGAGTGGATGGTGAGAAACTGGCAAGCCGCTGAGAAGGGCTATTTAGGGCTCAAGGGGTTGACGTCACTTTTGGATAATGAGTTAGGCTTCAAAATGATGACATTGCAATCCCACCACTTGAGAGCAAAAAAGAAAGTGCAACTGTTCCTGAGTGGCTCTGAGATCATATAAATCACAGTGATCTTCATAGCACTGAGAAAGTGGCCCAGGATAGTATTTCTTAAATTGCATTAGGACACACAGATTTGATTTGGTTTACTTTACTAACCATAAAAGGCTAAGCAGAGAATAAACCTCATCAAAGCAGCACATCATGGCCATCCATTCAGTGTCGGCACTCATAACCACGGATCATTCCCAGGAGGGTCCATCCTGTACAAGTTAGATGACCAACAAGCAAGTCACCCAATTAGACTAAAAGTAGTGTCAGAGCAAATTTTTCTAGCTTGTATGCCTTTATTTTCATTACCTAAAATGAAACCTAAGCATAAACTAGACACCATCTATAATAAAGGGCTACAGATATAGCTAAAACTTAATACAACTTCTCTTTCAAAATGAATACCAATTGTAAGAAGGAAACAGGCACAGCATTTGATCAAACAGCTAGGTCCATCAGTTTCTTCAGATTACAAGGAAATGGCTATCCATGATGCTCTGTGGCTATATAATCTATATTTAAGTTAGACTGGTTTCTAAAAGCTTCCCTAAAAACATGGTACCTTTCCCTGTTTACAGTAGGGTAATTTAATGTTTAATGCCACAAGTGAAACCTCTGAAGGATCAATACCAAAAAAGCACATCATTCAAACATACCTTTACATTCATATTTTAAAGCATGGGAGACTGCGGTCCCATGAATACGCCTGGAATTTCGCATATTTTAACACCAGTGTCTGAAAGGAGGGGTCTGATTGTTTGATACAATGAATTCTTTGCAAGTTCGCAACTACGAACAGGATTCATAACATAACAGGAAATAAGCAGAGGTTCAGAATGTGCTTATGTTTTATGCCAAAAACCAAAAACAAACAAAAAAGGTGATTGCCTGGCAGTTCAAGGAACCTATAGGTGGCCAGCTGTGGTAGCTAAGGGTGATTTCTGAAGAACCACGCCTAGTACGCATGGTTTAATGAAGAAATAATAATTAAAATACACACAAAAATGCTTACGTAAATGCTACCTAAACCAAGTTCCGTCTGGGATCTGTGGTTTTTCTCGCCAGAGGTCACCTACCCCAGGGCAAAGTTGCTGTCTTCCTTCCAGTCCACAATGCGGCAGATGAACAGCGTGTTGGCATAATCTTTAGGCCGGGTCACAAAGTCCTGGGGACAGTCCTTGAGAGGTACGTAAATTCTAGGCACCCGGTGGTCCGAGGGAGAAAACAGGGCATACTTCCTAAACAGTTCACTGTTCTTATCGGCCAAGAGTTTGAGGAAGCCAGTCGCTGCACGGGAATGTTTTTTTTCCAAGATGTAAACCACCTGAAAATACCAAAGATATAGTCAATGCTGTTTATCCGTAGGACTGGATAACAGTTGGGAGAAGTCAGTAGGATGTTATTTGGTCAACTATCTGGGTCCAGCAGTTTTTCTAAGTCTAAATGAAGTACCGCTCAGTGAGGCTCTGTGACTAAGTTATCTATATTTAAGTTGTAACAACTGAAGCCAGCAAGCACATACACCCAAGGAAAACTAAGCAATACACAGATTAATTCGATGAAAGTGCTTTTAAAACCAAGACCTATGTCTCAAAAAAATATGTAAAACTCCAGCAGGGAAGTACAGCTCCAGGTATTTGGTCTGCATTACATTTTTCTCACATGAACTATACCAGTATCTCAGGTGAACAATACAATAGTTGTTTATTTTAAAATGTTATTAAATGTAAATAATTTCTTTATTATGCCTTCAAATGCTGAAACCTTTTAACCTTCCTTCTTTCCAAGATTAAACCCACTCTCATTTCACCAGGCAAAAATTCAATAGCACAAGTACGTGCTATTTCTACCAAGAGGAACACATCATCTTGGACTGACCCATCATTCAGCTCTCACTCTCCTGTGCTCCTCCACGGGCTTTTTCACCACATCAAGACCACTAGTGCCTTGACCCTTGCCTTCTCTCAATGTCTGTTAGCTACTTCTTAGCCTTGAGCCCTTTCCTACCTGCCAGAGACGCCATGTTTCATCACTTCAAGTCCTGTTACGTATGTCATCAAATGCCTCACCCCTCTTGTTGTTCCACTGCATCTACCCCAAAAATCCTCAATTCTGGAACCATTCAGCCACTGCTATTCTCTAACCTTAAACACAAGTTACTGAGTCCACCAGAAAAGAAGAAAATTATAATCATACAGATGTATACCATCACACATTAATGTTATACAACTGCTGCTAGGACCTCAAAAGCTCTAAGGTATTTTTTTAACCTGTTCCCAGTCAGCACAATGTATTCTTTTTGGCTGCGTTGCGGCAGGCAGGGTCTTAGCTGCAGCAGGCAGGGTCTTTGTTGAGGCGTGTGGCACAGGCTCTTTGTTGTGGCGCGTGGGCTTCTCTCTAGTTGCGGCTACGGGTTTTCTTCTCTCTCTAGTTGTGGCGTGCTAGCTCCAGGGTATGTGGGCTCTGTAGTTTGTGGCACGCGGGCTTAGCTGCCCCATGGCACGTGGGATCTTAGTTCACCGACCAGGGATCAAACCCACGTCCCCTGCACTGGAAGGCGGATTATTTACCACTGGACCACCAGGGAAGTCCCCAGCATAATTTATTCTTTAAGCCCCACTCTCTTGATCCCTCTTTTGGGACTCCAATTATCTGAATGCTGGATCTTTTTTTTACTGTTCCACGGCTTCCTGAGGCTCTGTTCATTTTTTTTCAATGTATTTTCTCTCTGTTCACATTGGGTAAATTCTATTGATTGGTCCTCAAGTTAACTAATTCTGTGCTGAGTCACCTCTACTCTACTACTGAGCCCATCCAGCAAGTATTTCATTTGTTGCTGTATTTTTCAGTTCTATAATTTCCATTTAGTTCCCTTTTTATAACTTCTATTTCCTTGCTGAGACTTTCAGTTTTCTCATTTGTTTCAAGAGAATTTTTAATTGCTATTAAAGCATATTTATGATGGCTATCTTAAATCGCTATCAGGTAACTGCAGTATCTTGGTGTTGGCATCAACTAACTTGGTGTTAGCTGTCATTCCTCACTCAAGTAGTGATTTTCCTGGTTCTTGGTATAAGGTGATTTTCTAATGTATCCTATCCCGGACCTTTTGGCTATAATGTTAGCAGGTTCAAGGTCTTATTTAAATCTTGCCTTTTAGAAGGCAGTCACCCTGTCTAGGGCGAGCATGCAGGTCCCGGACTACTTTTGTGGGCTGTAGCTACAGTGACAATTTAGTTTTCAGAGGCTTTGCAATGCTATTTTGATATGTTTGGTTGACAAGGTACCACTGGGGCTCCCACTAGTTTCTGCTGGTACTGCTGAGGGGCTGGCCACCTGGCTGGTCTCTCTGATATGGGTGAGGAGCACATCCTGGTCCACATCCATGCAGAGACAGAGAGACTTCTCGCTTAGGGTTTGGGGTGTAGTGGCACCCCCTCCTACTGGTGCTATCTGGCTGCTCAGCATCTCTGGGTGGGAGAGGGGCATCTCAGGCCCATAAGGATAAAGAGGTTTCCTGGACCACATACTTGTGGTAGGATCTCCCTTGCTAGTGACATCTGGATGCCAGGTGTCTCTGGGTGGGGGAGGGGAGTCTCAGGCCCATAGGGACAAAGAGACTTCTGGGGCTAGGTCACCTCTTTGGCAGGATCCCTGCTGTCAAAGCCACCCAGATGCCTGGCATCTCTTGGTGAGGGACAGAAGTCTCAGGTGTGGTGGGGAAGGAGAGCCCTTTTCCTGGCCACTTGCCATCAGCAGAGATCCCAGTCAATTTGTCTTACAGGTGCTGCTGGGATTGCCTGGTGTTGTTGGAGGGCCTCCTGTTAGATCTGAGTGAGGAACGAGTCTGCTTGAGCCACCGGCTGTTGTGGGGTTGGGATCCAGAAACACGGGGCCTGGGTCCCCTTCTGTTGGTGGAGGGCTTATAAAGTCCCCTGCTACTACATTGTTCTTCTAGCCCTAGAGTCCCTAACTAGTTTGCCTTCCTCTTTTCATCTTTCAGAATTCTCCTTTGGTTGTCTCTTATTATTGTCCAGAATTTGTAGCTGTGCTTAGGGGAGAGGAGCAAGGAGAAACAAATCTATGCCATCATGTCTGATGCTTTTCGTTTTAACGTTCGACAGAACAAGAAGTATACAAATCAGCATGACATTACTCATGATTCATGTGTTAACTGTCACATAAATGACTTTACCACAGTGTAAGTTTTGCCTTGTAATTTTAGATTGAATTCATTAAGAAACTATACAAAAACAAATAAACCCCAAAACCAAAAATAGCAAGAGAGGAAGCACCATTGGGGGGCAGCAGCAAATTGCAGAACACAAATTCCACTGACAGAGGTTGCCTCTACTCAGCTCTGACCAAAGTCATTTAAGAATGTGGCCCACTGTTGCTGGATGTTTTGTTTCATCAAGAGACGCCAGAAGCCTGACACTCCTTTTTTTTTTTTTTTTTCGTATAAGCTACTAAGCCAAAATTTTAAAATATTGCACAGGTCAAGCAAAACACAAATTTATGAGCCAGACCCAGCCCACGATCTTTCCGTTCATTATACTCTTTCACACCTATCATACTGCCTAGTAAATGGTTAGTACTCAAAATGCTTATTAAGGGCTTCCCTGGTGGCACAGTGGTTGAGAGTCCGCCTGCCGATGCAGGGGACGCGGGTTCGTGCCCCGGTCCGGGAAGATCTCACATGCTGCGGAGCGGCTGGGCCCGTGAGCCATGGCCGCTGAGCCTGCGCGTCCGGAGCCTGTGCTCCGCAACAGGAGAGGCCACAACAGTGAGAGCCCCATGTACCGCAAAAAATAATAATAATAATACAAAAAGCTTATTAAAATAAAGATCTAGATAAACGAATGGGCAATTGGCAGGGGAGAGTAAAATATATGTAATATAATTTAGAAATTCCTCATGTCGATACGCAGGAGACACTCTCCTATCCAACTTGCTAGACTGAGTGGCAATGCCGCATTCCCAGGTTACACGTGCCGGCGGATGCCTCTGGTAAAGGAAAACCTCATGCTATCACACACTCCATCCTTTGTCATTGCACCACTCCTTCCACCAGGAGCTACCTGCGTAGCGAGGATCAGCTGTGTTTGATCTCATATCTGAATATGTCACTAGCATATATAATTTTTTTTTAAGATTTAATTTTAGTTATTTTTGGCTGTGTTGGGTCTTTGTTGCTGTGCACAGGCTTTCTCTAGTTGTGGCGAGCGGGGGCTACTCTTTGTTGTAGTGCACGGGCTTCTCCTTGCAGTGGCTTCTCTTGTTGCAGAGCACAGGCCCTAGGCGTGCGGGCTTCAGTAGTTGTGGCACACAGGCTCTAGAGCACAGGCTCAGTAGTTGTGGCGCACAGGCTTAGTTGCTCCGTGGCATGTGGGATCTTCCCAGACCGGGGCTCAAACCCATGTCGCCTGCATTGGCAGGTGGATTCTTAACCACTGCACCACCCGGGAAGTCCTAGCATATATAATTAAAAAATAAAATTGAATTACGCAAAAAAACAAATTGCTTTTGTTACTGGACAACTAAATTAAATACTTTGGAGAAACTAAAAAATACTTATTAAAAACTTACTTTTGAATTAGATACGGTCGTGACAACAATAAAAAAAATTGGAGCAAAAAACTAGAAATCTAGAAGGAGTCTACATTCATATTGCTTCACCAGTGCCTAAATTCTCACTCCATTCATTCATTTATTGCCGTGCCGCACGGCACACAGGATCTTATTTCTCTGACCAGGGATCAAACCCGTGCCCCCTGCAGTGGAAGCGTGGAGTCTTAACCGCTAGACCGTCAGGGAAGTCCCTCTCACTCCACTTTAAATAAACCAAACTGGAAATCATAGATGTCACATTACAAGTGCAGTTTATGCAGAAAAAGATAATGCAGAACCTCAATAAACATACCCACACGCGAAGAAAAGGCCTTGGCCCTTCATCCAAAGACAGACAAATGAATATATGTTTAAAGTTATGAAAAAGATTCACTTTTTATGATTCCCTGCTTCCACTGACTTTTCTGATTAACTGACCAACTACAGTCCTAACTGAATTGTATGAGAGGCCCCCAACAGGTAGCTCAGCTACCAGCCAGACAAGTGAAGGAAACAGGCAGAGACCTTTGCTGATCTCTGCAGCGACTTCTCTGGTAAAGCTCTTGTGTCCTGTGACATGAAGGTGTTCTTGTCTTTTGTAACTGGTGCACCAGCATCCTCTTTTCCTAATTTAAAAAAAAGAGAAAAGAAGAGGAGGAGGAATCAGGTAGACACATACCTATTAGGCATACAGACTCATGGGATTTTTAAATTCAGAGCTGCAAGGATTCTTGGACACCATTTAACCCAAAGTACTCATTTTACAGAAAAGGAAACCCAGGCCCACAGTGGTTAGGTGACTTGGCTAAGGTCAGTTACGTCACTAACTTGTAGAAATGCTCACACTCAGCAGGCCGCATTTTATCTATTTAACATTATTCATATGTTAGGCATCATACAAGTGGAGAGCATCAAATTATGCTGAATTAAACTAAATCGCCTATGTGTCAAAATGCCAAAATAACTAAATGTTATACACTGCCCCAGCCCACAATGAAGAATAGAGATAGGTTAACTTATTATGCACATCCGCTGAAATAAAACAAAATCAAAATAAATGTTAACTTTTAAAAGTACTCTGGTACAGCCATAACAAACAAAATGGTGGAAAATAGATTATATTTATTAAATAAACAAATAAAAAAGCCAACCCTGATTTTCCTGGCTTTTCTTAGTGACATTATATAAAGAGTAAAGTACTTAAAGTCTTTTAATGTTTAATTCCCCTCCTTAAAAAACTTATAAAATTCACATTCACCCAAGAAACTGAAACCACTAAAGAGGGAGTTAGGCTCTGGACCAGAAGTATTAAAACCACTCATGAAAAAAAGCAGCAAATTACAAACTTCTGAACATTTAATATTTTATATTTTCATGCGTTACATTAGATTTCCCCCACAAAATATTCTTATCCAACTCTACTGGAGTTTCTGGATTCTAGGGGTCACAACCAATTCATGTGGGACCCACTCCAGCTAGCTAAGAGAGACTTGTACTTATCATCATTTAGACATTACTAAGGCCAAAATAAATAAATAAATCCTTTTCAGGACTGGCTGCCTCTTAGCAAAGGCTCAGCTAAAAGCCAACTTTACTCTGGGCGTACTCTGGAAACACTGACATGATCTGACCTACTGGGGCTTAAGAACAATCAACTGTATGCTTTTCCATCTATGCTAAAATCTACCCACCATGGTGCCCACTGAAAGCAGAATTCTGTTTCCTGAAAAGAAAAACAAATGAAAACTTTCCCATTGTCGATCACCCTCTTCATCACCCTGTAAAAGAGGGACATCGTCCAAGTTCATCTTTTATTTTGGACCAAGTTCCGGATTCCAAAATCATCAGATGCCTTCAGAACAACATCTTTTACACTCTTAGGGAGGAGAACCCGCACACGCTGTTGACCAGTTCCATAACACATCTTTTACACTCTTAGGGAGGAGAACCCGCACACGCTGTTGACCAGTTCCATAACACATCTTGCCAATGTGTTCCACACAACAGGTAATTCAGGAAAGATTAGGAGGCTGGAATTACCATGAACAAGTATACTCTACCTAGATATCTGATATCCGAGTTTGGTCTCAAGAGCTGGCAGTCAAGACAGGGTAGTGAGGGTCTTTCCGAGACAGCCCAAATCCTGGGCATGCAGCCTTCTGTAACGGTCACTGGTGGCTCCGTCTTAAAATGACTATTGCTTCAGATTCCATCCCAACAACAAGCAAGTCTTCTGTTCCAAAGGTTACGCCAGTTTGCATTCAAAAAAAGAGGGCAAGCCATGGAAGTGGGCCCAATTATGATTCTCAGAGATCACACCTGAACACGACCTTTTCAGGCTCCGTGTTCATAAGGATATCCCGGCAGAAATCAGGCTTTGTTCAGACAAAGATGCGCCGTAATAAATTAAACTGAAGCTTGTAGCCTTACAGGTGAGCACCACAGATATGTTCAATGAATGTGAAGAAACACACTGCCAGTTTAGAAAAGTGAATCACCTTAACAGGTTTCCAACAACTACGTCTTGCCACAGCGAGTAGCAAAGCTGTCAATTTAATGAGAGAATCTATCGCGTCGTTTAATCACAAGATCATTTGTTTCTTCATTTATACCATGTGTGTTTACTGAGCACTGGGCATTGAGGATTCAGTGTGAATAAAAGAAAGATGATTCCAGCCCTTATGGAACATACAGTTTAACGCTGGAGTGATATTCAATAAATAGGCACTCAATAAATATAGAATTATAAACTGTGATGACTGCTAAGAATGAAAGAACACTCCCAAGGAGGAAGAGAAGAGAACATATGATTTAGACTAAGAAGTCAGAGAAAGGTCCTGTGTGCAAGTGACACTGACGCTGAGATATGAGGATGGTGTGTGGAGGAGTGAGGAAGGGGACAAAAGACCCCAAGTGGGGAATGGTACTTGGGAAGGGGTGGAGGTGGGAAGTCCTTGGCACAATCAGGAACAGAAAGACCATGTGGCTGGAGGACAATGAACAAGAATGGGCATGGCCAGAAATGGAAATGAGAGGTAGACAGGAGTCGAGCCAGATGGGGCCCTGCAGAAGTTAAGAATCCTGAGTTTAAACCTACATACAATAGGAAGCTGGCTAAGGATTTTGTTCAAGAAAGTGACTGCCTAACTTGAGACTCAGCCAACCTAAGAGGGGATGTTGGGAGACCAGTTAAGAGCTATCACAGAAGTCCAGACACAAGAGGATAGTGCTACAATACAAGCACTGGAGATGGAATTAAAAGGATCAATTTGGGCTTCCCTGGTGGTGCAGTGGTTGAGAGTCCGCCTGCCGATGCAGGGGACACGGGTTCGTGCCCCGGTCTGGGAAGATCCCACATGCTGCAGTGAGGCTGGGCCCGTGAGCCATGGCCGCTAAGCCTGCGTGTCCGGAGCCTGTGCTCCGCAACGGGAGAGGCCACAACAGTGAGAGGCCCGCGTACCACAAAAAAAAAGGATCAATTTAAGAGATATTTTGGAGTTGAACTAATAGACTTTGGTGGTAATTAGATGTGAGAGTTTAAGGATTATTAGATATAAGAAATAAAGGATTACTTCAAGCTTTCTAACATCTGCAGCTAGGCTGATGGAGGCATTACTGGCACAGGAAAGACTAGAAGAGGTGGTGAAAATCCAGGGTTCTACTTCAGAGGTGGTTCTATTTGAGAGGCCACCTGTGAGATCTTCAAGTGATGATACTGAGTAAGCAGTTCAACATGAAGATCTGGAACTCAAGAAGAGAGATCTGCACTATGGCTCTAAGTATAATTTATACGCCAAGAACTTCCATATTTATAGTTTTCCAGCCCAAGTTGCAGAGAAGAAATTCAAACCCAAGTCTTTTCAACTACTAAGTTCCTGAAGCTCTTCCACTGATATATGCTCAAGTATGAAGTAATGTGCTGTCAATGTTAAGGAAATAAGCAAGATTCACTGAGGAAGTGAGTTGGGCTTGAAGGATATACAGATGTTTTGGAGAAAGAAAGTTGAAGGGCATTCCAGGTAAAGGCCAGCACTTGTACATGGCCCAGAGCTGTGAAAGAGCCTGACATGGTAAAGGATTAGTAAGAGATTTATTGTAGCTACTAACGGGTTGAGGACACAAGTGTTGGGCAGGAAGGGACTGGATGGAGAAAGGAACAAAACTGGCGGGGAGGTGGGATAGGTCCTACGGCAGAGATTCTAGTTACCGCCCAATTTATCTATTCTCTTCTTTCCCACTAGGCAGAACTCCGATATTTTTTTTTTTTTTTTTTTTTTTTAGCTAGTATTAGTTAGAAGACTACCTCCCTCAGTCTTTTTGTAACTAAACATGGCCTGGATGTCTAAGTTTTAGCCAATGAGATGCAGGTTAAAGTGTTGTGATTTAAAGGACAGAGGTACAGCCTTTCCCTCTTCCTCCTTCCTGCTGGCTGGAATGTGGATGTGGCAGCTGGACCTCAAGCACCCATCTTGGTCCTGGAGGCTACAGGACAACAGTGCATTCTGCTGTGCAGAGCAGCGCAGCAGAACTGAAGACTATGCAGCTAACCTATAAGCCTTGACCTGCCTACCTCTGTTCTTCTTTTCTGTGAGATAGAAATAAACTTTCTTGTTTAAGCCATTGATATTTTAGGATTTAACGCCACTCTCAGCAGAACATACTTCCTAACACACAGGTCCAGACAGTGAAACTGATAAGCTTGGATACTACCCTACAAAGCACTAGAAAGGCCAGGGACGCATACATTTTAGAGCCGTGAATCTGGCAGCGCTCCAGAGTGGAGAGACAGCAGTAGCAGAGAGCTTAGGAAGCTGGGGTCACAGTCTAGATGAGACGCAATCAGAATCTAAATTAAGATAGTGGCAGTGACAGGGAACAGAGGCAAGACTTGAGAGACATTTTTGAGAAGGATGCTGCGAAGTGTGTCTCCATCACTATCAATGACTTAGTACAAGAAAAGGGGCTTAAGTTAAAAGAGCTTTTGATTGACTATCAGGGAAAATGCTTTCACAGAACAATGAAACTCCCTGATGAATTACTAGAAGAGGGGAGAGCTGCCGGCAGTCCTCAAGGAAGGAAAAGGTTATGTTTCCCCACAGCCTTCAGTCTGCCGTACTGAAGGCAGAGCCGGCCCCATGCATTCTGCGGCCCCTTGCAGTTAAAAATGTCCAGAAACTAGTGACTACCAAAATTCTTCATCTAGAAAACAGAGTTTTCTAAAAACTGGACATACTACAAATATAAGCAACTGCTCACTATATTCTCCAAAAAAACACCCTAGGAGGGAAAATCCAGTAAAATACTAATCTCTTTATACAGATTACCTGAAACTTCTATTTCAAACATTCCAAAAGTAAAACACCATGGTTTGCTGGAGCTGGCATTGCCACTGCCTTAGAAATGAGTTTGATTTGGGCTCCTCGCACAGAAACAACGGACTGACAAGGCTGATGATCCTTAACGCTTGACAAATTCATCAGGTTTTCAGAAGATTAGACTGTGATGCTAAGTAAAGGCAACATGAAGAAAAAAGCAAGGAATTGGGCAAAAAGGTGTTTCAATCTTTCCAATTAAAAGAGCGACAAACTCTGACAAATCCAAGCTTTCTCATCTCTGAATGAAGGGT